GCATTTTAATCAGATGATAAGTGTTGAATAATACATGTAACATAATGTAGCATATTGCCATTTTAAACCTTTTTTGTTGCCTATTGATGATCGTTTTACATACAAAACAATACTAGGCAGTATATAGTGCTCCATTATGAATGTAATTCTCACACTCGATCATATCCTCTCTTTGAAGGCGGTGTGTTGTAAGGATGGAGATCACTGCTGTCCTAACGGCTACACATGCAATGAGAAGAAAACGTCCTGCTCTAAAGCCTACCATGAGATCCCCTGGTTCACAAAACAAGAGGCCAGGGTCCTGAAGGGGTCCGAGGTACTGTTTGGAGATGAAGATGTGAAGTGCGACTCGACGACTAGCTGTGCATCTGGTTCTACCTGTTGTAAATTACCCACAGGGCAGTGGGGCTGTTGCCCTCTTGTCCAGGTGAGTCTTTTTTTTTTTTTTTTTGTTATGCAGTTATGTGTGTTTGAGTATTTTTGCTCTGAATGCTCTTGTGGATGTTCTTCTGTCTGACTCAGAATTTGGTTTGAGTAGCTCGGGGTATGTTTTCATGTGTTTTGCATGTGTTTTCTCTCTGCAGGCGGTGTGTTGTGAGGATCACGAGCACTGCTGTCCACAGGGCTACACCTGCGACCTCGAGTTTGGAACCTGTGTAAAAGCGTCCAGTTTGCACAGTGTTCTTCTGACACGATTACAGACACACACTGACACACGTTCAGAAGAGGAGGTGCTGTGTGACGCGTCCACACGCTGCTCAAAGACACAGAGCTGCTGTAGACTATCAGACTCCTCATGGGCCTGCTGTCCATATAAAGAGGTAACAAAAATCAGAGCTGCCACGTATAGATATTTGGTTGACAATAAAAATCATTGAAATTTATTTTTTATTTTTCCCCCTCTCTCTGATGTCTGATATTATTAGTGGTGCCTGCTAAAGGAAGCATCACTATCACTGTGTTTGTTTCTTTGTTTTTACGGAAATATTTATTTATTATTTTTATTTCTTATTTCTTATTAGTTAACTATTTTTATTTATTGTTTACCAAAATTAATGTTTTTTTTCTTTATTATTTTAGATTTATTTGTTTTATTTAGTTTATTTTTTATTTATTGTTTACTGAAATAACATTTTGTTTACTTTTTATCTGTTTATTTATTATTTCCATATTTATTTTATTTATCTTTTTGATTTGTTTTTAAAGAAATTAATGTTTTTGTTTACATTTCATTATTTGTTTTTATTTAGTTGTTTTCATTCATTGTGTTTACTGAAATTGTTTATTTGTTTATTTTTCATTGTTTTTATTTACATGGTTTTTTATTTGTATTCCTTGAATTTATTTATTGTTTGCAAAAATGTAAATTTGTTTTTTATTTTGCTTATTTTAATGTTTATTGAATTTTACATTTGTTTTTGTTTACTAAAACTTTGAACAAATCACCTATTTGTTGTTTTTATTTACTTTGTTTGCTGAATTTTACATTATCTATTTATTTATTATTGTGTTTACAGAATATTGCATACAATTATAAAGTTAAATCATTACTACTGATAGCAGTCTTCACTAAAACACGCAAACACTGAACCGATTGTTGCTCTCTTTTTTTTCGTAGGCAGTCTGCTGTGAAGACATGAAGCACTGTTGCCCTGTGGGATACAAATGTGACCCAGAAGTCCAAGGCTGCACTAAAGCCTCCACATCCATGTGGTGGGAAAATGCTCTTTAAATGAAGAACCACAGACTGACACTGAACCACATGCCCATAACACAAATATACATACACACACACTCGAGCGCTCCGACTCGCTACATGTTGCATAAAGCGTTGTTTTTAAGATGCCCTCTTCAGACAAGGGACTATACATCTAGCTTTTTTTTTAATGTCTAGTATTTTTCTGGAATAAAAATGTGCTGAACCTTATATTTAGGCAGGATACACTGAGAGACTTTAGAACTGATGATTGTGTGATTTTTAGCAGAAATGTAATTTGCCCAAAACATCAAAGTGATAATTAGAGGCTAAATGACACATTATAATATCATAAATGTTATTAGGATGTGGATTTGATGTTTTGAATTACATTACCATGATTATAATGACATGCACAAACCGTAAGTGAGAAAAGCTACTGAGATTCAAAACTGAATGTATCACCAGTGGACTAAACCTACCACTGAACCACAAAAGAAACTTGTGAACTTTTATTTCATTTTGTTTTTTCATATTCTAAACCTGATTGGGAAAATGAATTAATGGGTGACGTCAACCTTTTAACCCTATAATTTACTTAGAGGCTGTTGCATGTAGGGTTAATTCAACTTTGTTTGCTTTTTCCATTGCTTTTTTTTATTTTGTTATTGAATTGTTCAAAGGTGTCTGTGTGTATTCTTAAAAATCTTTCGAATGACTGAAAGCGTCAAGTGTCATTCTCAAAATTTGCTATAGGTGCTTTTGTGTTTTGTCTATTTTTCTCATTTTAATATTTACTGAAGGGTGAAACGAATCTAGTTGATTACCTGTGACAGAATGAGAGTTGATTTATTCTTTTTTCCCCCCGTTTTTTGTTGAAATGGATTTGTTTTTGGTTAAATATATAAAAAAAACACTGAAATTAAACACTTTTTAAACAAATGGCATGTTGACTCATTCATGTCTCATCAGATTGTTTTTATAAACTCTGTCTGGTTTCCATGGTGCAGATCCATCTCTGCAATGCCATTGAATTTTTACAACTATTGGAGGAAGAATACCTGTTAGTCTATTAAATGGAAAACACAGAATAAAAATGAGAAAAAATCCTAAAAGATGGGAAAGTTTGGTCTGTGTTTGTTTTTAAGAAATCATGTAAATGCATTGCCCAATCAGAGAGGCTGACACAGATATTCCAGATGGCTGCTGCTCGATGGAGTCATGTTTCACAGCTGGTCTTCTGCATGTGTTTGAGTCTCACTCAGACCAGCTGAAACACTGTTACCATTCAGCTGAAACCACACAAGAGCTTAAAATATCGACATCGGCCGAGTGTGTTTGACTCCAGAAAGAAAACAAGATTGCTTTGGAGAAAGTTTGCAGATTTCCAGAAGCCGGTCCTGGCGGTTTCTTGTGGTATGTTGACATTTTGTGTCACAACTTACACAACAGCTGACCGGAACAACTTTAGTGCACCGGTGTAAGCTGAACTAAAGCGAGTGGGTTTGTAAAAATAGAAACTAAATAGAAATGCATGTGCGGGGTTATACTACCATTCAACATTTTGGGGTTGATAAGTTCCTTATGCTCACCTATGCTGTGTTTATATGATTAAAAAAATACAGAAAAAGCAGTAATATTGTGAAATATTATATTTCACAATATTATTATTATTTAAAATGTCTGTTTCTGTTTGAATATCTTTTAAAAGGTAATTTATTCCTGCGATGAAAAGCTGAATTTTCAGCATCATTACTCCAGTCTACAGTGTCACATGATCCTTCAGAAATCCTTCATATTTTTGTGGAAAAGGATTCTTTGTGATGAATATAAAGTTTTAAACAACAGAATTGATGTGAAATGGAAATCTTTTGTAGCATTAGAAATGTCTTTACGGTCACTTTTGATACATTTAATGCATCCTTGCTGAATAAAAGTATTCATTTAAATAAAAAATGGCATTATTTGTTTTCAGCATTATTTAATATTACTAATATAATATTATATTTATTATTTTGAATTCATTTTTTGTATGTTGTATTAATAATTTCAGTTTTTTAATAAATTCAGCATACTGTCATTTTAGTAAGTTTTAGTAATTGTGTGCTGTTGTCCTTTTTATTTTTAGTGTTTACTATATTTTTTAAATCCTATTTAGCTTAATTTTTATTTTTATTCACTTTTGAACAGTGTAAATCATTCTTACTGAATGAAAATACTAATTTCTCACACACAAAAAATAAAATATAAAAAAATAAAATAATAATAATATAAACTTAAATAAACAAATAAACTAGTAAACTAAATAAACTAAAATAAAATCTTACCGACCCCAAACTTTTGTGTAAATTGTTGCATAACTATCCTGAGTGTGTTGACTGTATAGGTGTGAATGCTGTGTGTAATGAAGGCACTCTGAGCACGTGTGATTATATTGAGGTATTGAAGGAGCTCAATCACTACCTGAAAGTTTAACTACCGCAAACACTCAGTGGAAATCAAAATTCAAGATGGAGAAGGCAAAGAGACTGACAAAAATGGCAAGAATGTTGGACTCTGATAAACGATCCGGTGTGAGAAAGTGTGAAAGGGAGAGAGCGGGACAGCTGAAGGGAAGCTTCAAACGAGCCAAAATGTCACTGCTATTAATACACCTCAGCAACTGCTCTCCAATCAACACACACCATCTCAGTGTGTGTGTACATCAGGAAGTGTGAGCAAAATGATGGCTTCAGGTTTCTCCCACCTCAAAAGCTTGGTATCTGCCCCAGTTCTCTTACTGAGCTGCATTTCTGTTGATGTTTTCAGTTGAGGGGACAGAGGAATGGCCATACCGACCATGACTGACTCCAGCAGGCTTACTGAGGTTTCCACACTGCCTTATCTGGATGCACGGACTTCAACCTCAGACACAGAGTGTGGAGAGGAGCCTGATCTCCAGCCAAGAGCTCTGGAGGAACCTCAGGCAGTGGGTGCAGAAGACACTGGAACATCAGACATCATGGTGTCGAGGGGTGAGAGAAGACAGCCGCTTTAGAGGTTAATGAGTTCAAGAGAGGATGATCTGCAGTCTTAGAAATGAAGGCTCTTCAGTGGTTCTTGCAGGAACTTTCTACCAAGAATCATTTAGTTGGCTATGGGCTTTTATGGAAATTAAAATTAAAATGGAAATTAACTTGATGTTACATTATAGGTTCATCAGATCAGCATGTCGTAACAAAGTTATTTTGTGGGATTGGGATTGAAATCTTTTTTGAACTTTTTATAATGTTCTGTTCTTTAAAAATGTCTGTGCTGTTTTAGTATATTTACTTCTAGTATTTACTAATATATTAATTATAATTTTTAGATGCTCAGTTTTAATTTTAATTTCAGTTTAAATTTGAGTAGTTTTGTTATGTACTTTTATCATTTATATTAGATGTTTTATATATATATATATATATATATATATATATATATATATTTGTAATATTGTTTTGAGTAATTTTGAGTAATTTTAATTCTTCAAAAACTTAAAATTATTTATAGACAAAAAATAACTTAATCCTGTTTTATAACACATTTATTTTTTAGTCATTTTGTTACATGCCTTTATCATTTTGCACTATTTTTTTATTTTACTGTTTAACTTTTAGTTGTAATTTTAGTACTTTAAAAATTTATTTATACGCTTAAAAACAACAGCTTAAACTTATGTTTGTTTTAAAAGGATCATTTTTATATTTTCAGTTTATTTTAATTTTAGTTTGTTTGAATCATTTTGTTATGTGATTTTGCCCTTTTTGTTATTATTTTTATTTTAGAAATTTTCAAGAACTTAATAAATTTAAGTTTATAAACTTATAAATTTAAAAACAACAACTTATTATATTTCAATTAGTTGCAAAGACAGCATTTCTCATTTTTATTTCAATTTTGTTCATCTTAACTTTTTATTTTATTTTAGCTTTTTTTTCAATTAATAAAAACAATTTTTAATAGTTTTATTTTCAATTTTTTTATGAGAGAATGTGCATTGTTTAAAGAATGATATATAGAGAAGACATTGCAGCTTGTAGATTTTGTTTATGTGTTAATATTTATTTATATGTTTTAAGTAGTGCTGTCAAACGATTAATCGTGATTAATCGCATCCAAAATAAGTTTTTTTAACATAATGTATGTATGTGTACTGTGTATATTTATTATGTATATATAAATACACACACATGCATGAATATATTTCAGAAAAATATGTGATGTTTATATATTAAATATATTTATTTATAATATAAATTATATGAATATAAATATAGACGTAAATATTTTCAAAATATATACTATATGTGTGTGTATATAAATATACACAGAACACTGACATACATTATGCAAACAAAAACTTTTATTTTGGATGCGATTAATTGCGATTAATCGTTTGACAGCACTATTTTAAGTGATGTTTTGCATGTATTTTGAGGTGAGGAATATCAAACGTCTGACTTTACAAGTAAAGAAGACAACAACATCCAGTCGAGCATCAGCAGCAGGTTTGCACAGTGATTCTTTCCATTTACTTATTTAAATGACAGGTTTATGAATTCACTGATCCATTTAACTGCTTTGTTTACCATGGCAATTCATAGGTCAGATGCAGAAAGAGAGAATAAATCTACTGAAGCAGCAAGAAGAAAACGTCACAGGAAACACCGAACAGAGATTACAGACACGAGGAAAACAAGGGAGACGTGTAGAAAAGAAAGCGCAAGAATGAAAAAAAATTCTCCAGTGGTTTCCGACCAGAAGACCAGCGGCTCCTCAAGATGCTCCAAAGATCAAGACGTGTTCTCATCCCGACCTCAGCAGGTCACTCCAGATCTCCGTCTGTGGAAATATCCTCAAGATGCTGGTGTTTCCCGTCTCTGCCTTCACAAGCTGGAGGTCGACGTTCCTTCGACCTTTGAGTCTCGCAGTTTGGAACCAAACCTCGACTCTGAGTTTGCATATATTTACGCTGAAAGCATCAAAGGATGCGACTCTTCCTGTTGCACTACTCCAGGAGACTGTAATACCCACAATCCCTTTGTCAAAACTGAACGAGAGCCTGAATCTGTCTGGAACAGCTTTGAGGAAGAATCTGAAGACTCCGATTGGGATTTATACATGTCTGCACACAGTACAGCGGCTACTACAGGTTCCAGATTGAACGCTGAGCGCTTTGGGTCTTTAGATGACTTTGACTTGACTTGTATTTATACAGACTGGGAAAGGAGAGCCGACAGTGCAGAAACCGAGCAGGGTTACAGTCCCGCCGAAGCGGAGTGGGGCTCCGAGAGTTCATGTTCCACCGCTGACAGTCAAACCAGCAGCTCGGATTCAGACGGCTGCCGTTTAGAGGCTCTCGGTGACATCAAATGTCCAGACGGATGGCCTGAAGTGTTTCTGCCAGGATTTGAGGGCTGCTTTGACTGCTGGGATGTAGTTGAAGACGTCTGCAGAGGCACAGAGAGCGATTCTGAGGATACAGGTGAACTGTGGGGTGTCGTGACTCAAATGGACCGCCGGCATTTCTCTGAATTTTTCTGTGAGATGATTAAAGAAGTGACGCAGGAGAAAGACACAGAGCAAATGAATGTAAATGAGGGGTTTCTGTTCCACCCTAAGCAGGTATGTGACTA